TAGAACGACGAAGAGTCGAGACTTATTGATGAATCCTAATAGGTAGCTAAAGTTCTAACCAACAATAATGTACAGACTAATAATGTGGCTACTAGCCAACTCACTCGCGGTCACTACCATAGTAGGTAGAATAATAGATAGCACTTTGCCAAAATAACCAATAGCAGATAAGCGTAGGCGACACCCTCGAACGGAATAGGTGTCATTTTTCGAGTTCTACATACAGGGGGAAGCTGACGTTGCGGGCATCGAAGCCGTACACGTGCCAGATATATAGCTTGGAGGTTGGAGGTTGGAGGTTAAACCCATATTAGAAGATTAGAAAAGTGACCACCGCAGCAAGTGAAATGCAATAAGCAAAGCAAAGTTCCCAGGATGATGTGTCGAAGGATTGTCGCTGCGTCAGAAGCTTATGCTTGTGCTACGACCCCATCATTGTATTTTAGGATAGGGGGTCGGCAAGGACTGGTATTCAGCAACCCCCGGGCCAGATATACAACCAACCTTATTATTACGCATATTATTATGGGTGACGAACCCGTGCTATATCCTTCGTGTACACTATATGGCATCGTCGTATCTGAGGGCTATCATCGTTCAAGTCTTTGTGTCTTCATGCCTACGAAGTATAATCCCGTACTGTAGCAGGGAATACCACGGCGAATTTCGCGCATCGTATCGGGGTACGGATACATAGGGTGCTCACTGCAGATCTGCAGGGCATTTTTGTCAGTAGCCTAATCGTGGGTGTGGGATTTGTTTCCCACTTACGGAAGTCCCCATCAAAAGTTTTGTCTATACGTGCCACCTGATAGCTTTTGATGCAGCTGTCTAGGACCTGACACCATGCGGCAGCCAAGATTATGAACGTATACAAAAGTTTACCTTTTACAACATATCCAATTTTAGCTTCAATATGCCAATTAAAATATTAAAATTAGATCTATTATAATAATAAAAGCTGCTCTATACGCCTATATAACCTTTATTGTTTAAGGAGAAGATTTCGAGTTATTATGTTTAAGCAAAAGTAGTGTAATATGGATAGTACATGCGCTCGATGGCCTACAGCTGTTGCCAAGCCCTGTCAAAGCTGGTCAAAAGCTAACAGGGGCTGGCCTATGGACAAAACTTTTGATGGGGACTTCCGTACCTAGCTTGGAGTTGACATCTTTAGCCCTATGTGCCTTTAAAATAAAGTGCGCCGTGAAACGTCATCAGAGCACCGAAAGATCGCAGATCCTCCCGTAAAGGTGATAGGGCGGACGCATAAGAGAGAGCCATGTATTTTCTTTATTCCCATTGCGGAGATGACGGTAACGCGTGAACGCCAAGTGGAAAGGATTCCGTTTCGCTAGTATATTCAGGATTATATGGCTTGGTAGTTGCTTTTATTTGCACATTCGACCTGCTTTTATCATAGCTGTCTTCATCGCGGTCCTTCGACAAGCCAGACGAGCCAGTGTGCTAATGCTAGAAAATAGTTTTCCCATACAGATAGGATAACAAGGAGAAATCGATCCGGTTCTCGGCCACTCGACCCGCTATGTATAGTATATATGATAGGGTTTTCGAATAAGTACTAAAAAAAAAAGTTATCTTACTAATTTATCATTTACGCAAGTACATGAGCTTGGCCCTGCTTGGCCCTGCTTGGCTATCTAGCACGCTTAAATTCATGCTTAAAAGTGAACGGACCAGGCCTTTAGAATATGTAGATGATCTGGGGCCAGATCCCTCGTGGTCGCCAAGCTGCCAAGCGCGTGGCCAGCCCCTAGTCAGCATCAGCCAATGTTAAAGTGGAATCGATAGCAGGGGTTTCTCCCTTAGCTTCCAACAAGTACCAGAGTTGAGCTGCTTGTCATGGACATCAGCGTGACCGACACTTGCCCGCAGTAGACCAATCCATTCCCAGCAAAGACTTGGGCGAAGGACGCTTAAGATGATGACAAGAGAGAAAACATTCGCTTTCATGGGTTGGTCGGCCTGGGCGGCCGCCTCGTCTCCGGTTATAGCCTAACAAAGAAGAGTCAGGCCTACCGTAATATGCATCAACGCAAAAAACACTTGTTTGCTTCGTGGGTGGTTGCTTAGACTATGATACGAGTTATCCGGCTCACCGACAATTACATTCACTCCTTTATGCATCTCCCCTTATTACAACAATTATCTGGATTGTCTACATAGGCAATCCGTATTATGGGTGCCATATGCACCCCAGGGCCAACACAAAAGAAGCTTGAATCCTTTAGAGATCCTAGACCCTTTACGCTAACTAGATGGTTAGAGCCTAGAATATCGTCATATCTAAGTATCGTTCGTATATTCTCAGTTAGTAAATAGTAGAATTATTTACCTACACTATAGACACTATTAATGTCATGTGCTTAGTGCTAGCTGCGGGTTCGAGGGATTACTCCATCCGGGCGATCGAATACTACGGTCCAGATCCCTTCCTTGGGAAATTCCAGCGGGCTACTAATTATGGCTGTGCGATATCAAGCTACCGCGACCTTTGTTTATGTAGCTACCTATCTACATACCTAGTCCGTGAGTCTAGCTGTCTAGCGATCTTCGTTCTCCAAACCCCAACGTTATGACTTAACGAAGAGCCGTATGTCGGCAGTTTCACGATCTGATGCATTGCAATGAAACGTAAGAAGGGGAAGTCGGCGATCTTCAGTATTCATATGGGCTCATGTCGGTCTCTTCAACGGGTGAATGGTAGCTGGATCACCAATAGCGGGACTCACTACTGTGCCGTGTGCCAATGATCAACCAAGTTGCCGCCGGCACAAGGACGAATAGCCATTTGTATCGGATGCAGATACGTACATATGGCAACGGTGTTCTTCGCTTGTTCCATGCATCAGATATGAAAAAAAGAGGTTTGCCTCGGCTTCGTCAGCAGGGTTAAAAAAGTTTGCCCTTTGTGCTAATTTTTATTTCCATAAGAAAATTTTTTTTTTTGTTATTTCGTCTGACTACGGCAAGCAATATAATTATTATGTACCTATTACCGTAGTCGTTTTCGGCACACCGAATTCATGACTTACAAGCTGCAGGATCACCGGTCCTTGCATAAAACTCGGCAGCGCTTTTCGGCTTAAAGCAATATTGAACCTCCCAGGTAATATATCTGGTCACTACCAGATCATTCAGATATTGGTACAGATAGGTGGCATCAACTAAGATCAGTTCTTCATCATGCCGACGGGTGCGACTTGCCGTAGAGCTTTCTAAGATCGCTCGTTTATCCGCGAGGGATTGTAATAGCCACCTAAGACTTGCACGATGGGTATTGATGATGTGAGGCCTGTGGTTGTGCCCGTGTATCCTAAACCCTCGAGGCAATGTTGTTCGGAGATGACAAGTGAGACGGACATGAGTAGAAGCTTCATTCATGTCATACAGAATGCCGTGATCACCTCAGCAACGACGAAAGAGGCAAGGAAACCCCGAAAGCGGTGACGTCCTGTCCGAGAATGACAACACTGCGGTACACGGGATCCCATTCTGGGACTCAAACGGTAAGACAGAGGACGTGATTAAACTACGGAAACACAAAGGCTTGTCGTGATGTGTCTCAGGGTTGGCGAGACGGGTTTCCCTCGATGACGGTAAGGTTTGTGGTTCAACAGTCGAGACGTACTATGTTTTGACCTGACCCGTCATAGCTACCCAGGCTCTCCAGCTATCAAGTTACGCACAACAAGCAGGTAACTTAATAATAGCTAGTTAACTATACTAAATACTAAAAAGTACCGTTTAGAACTTAGACAACTTATGACAGGTGAGTCGGACATTGATAGCACCGACGTCCTCTTGCCTCTCCGTACGTCCTATGCCTCGTCTAACCATCGGGGAGCCCAGGCCGACCTGGTACGATCTCTTGTCTAGGTATTTAGGAGATTGTGAATCGTATTTCAACGAATTTGGACATCGAAAGTCTCTTCCGTGGACTCTTCTAGGTTTAAAAGCTAGAAACTGTGAAAACAAGAATATCAATAACTATGCTTTAAACTTAACTTAACTTATTAAAATTGACGGATAAATAACCTTTCGCCAGTCTGTGCTGATTAACAGAAGAAAGTTAAAAGGATATATATACACGAATATCTAACGAATACGGACTTTCGCATTTCCCCAGATGGAACACTTATACTTTATAATAAGGCGGAAAATGAATGTTGGGCTTGGCTTATAAGCTAGGAAACTTTGACTTGGATTACGGATTGGACCTCGGAAGGATCTTTCGGTAGGTGATGAGGTAGGTTAACCTGCGAGCTTATATTTCTGTGGAGTATTCAAGGTACCTTTTATTTTAAAACTTTATCTTAATACATACATATGTACATGTACATTATCTTGCATATGCAATATTAAGTTGCATATTTAAGTATCTTGATATAAGTACCTGACATATCACGGGAAGGATGAATTGTACACCAAGTACGAAGTACGTAGGTACATACATATGTAGGTAGGTAAGTGTGGGTCCGTCACCACTGGACACGGACCACTATGTGTTCGTAAGGACCCACTAGTCCACGAATTGGGAACGCATACAACTTGTAAATAGCTTCCTAGATAGATCCCTCTCCTTTACTTATGTAATCAATCATACACACTACGAGACTCATCGGATACATATCATCATTGTGATATCGTATCACGAGTCCTTGTGTGGTGACACCCTAGACGCATAGGTACGTATACACTGCACTACTAACGCCTAGCCCACCTAAGCAGCGCAATGCCTGGTAAAGCCTGGTACTCCATCCCTGGAATCCTTGGCCGATTAGCTGCTGAAGGGGAATATTGGATACCGCCGTTGGTACCGGGGACTGGAGCCTTTGAAGGTCTTGGCGACGGGCGCTAATTGTCCCCTGTAAAGTGGGTACAAAGTACTTGAGCCGCTGCGAGATGCTTAGACCCGTGTAACCGTGGGACCGCGGGACCGCAACCTCGCCGAAAAAAAAAAAAATCAAATCAAATCGGAAAGAGGTTGCAAAATAAGGTTAATAACCTTGAATTAATTGGCAAGCTTACCTGTACCTACCTTTTATTCACATTCACATTCACATTCACATTATTGTGGTAATATCTATTTTATATATATGCGTTTTCCTCTCCCGCACTTTCCCTTGCTTCAAAATTCCATCAACTACCTTTATCTACTTCATCTACTTTCCGACCACTTTATCTGTTCTTAATACCTCCCAATAATTCACTTATTTCCCAACATGCTACTCCAAGTCGATTGATTAATCGACCATTCACGATAGTCTTCAGCCACTCATTATCTGATAACCCACCTCGATTAACGCCAGTGCGTTTAGCCAGTGCGTGGATCTGATATGGTGGGTAGGATTACAAGACTTAATTACCTGGCAAGGAATCGAGTACATGCCACCTCTTCTCCCTTCGATTTTACATCCAGCAAACTTCTACCACCTCTATTTTTTTCTTATTTTTGTTTTTCCGTATTAGGCAAGCAGGGAAAAGATGGAGACATATCGCGGATACGTACGAACGCCCGCAGACGCAATCAAACTCTTTGAAGCTTGCAGGCTGGGCTTACTGCCTCGAGTACAGAGACGATTGTCGGAGAAAGAACGACAATCCATCACATCTGGCTCAGTTTTTGTATGGGATGAGAGGGAAGCCGGTATGCGCAGGTGGACCGATGGGAAATCTTGGAGTGCGAGTAGGGTGTCTGGCAGTTTTCTCACATACAGAGAGATGGAGGGTAAAAGAGGCACTACATTTGGTACAACACGACGAAGTAACGGAAGGACACCTGATAGCGGCCGAGTCAGTGAAGACGACCAGGATGGCGAGCCGGATGGTTATAGATACAAGGCGGATGGTCTGATGAAGCAGTCCTTCAGCATAACGACGTCGGCGGGCCAGCACCTCCACTTGATCTCATATTATTCCCGACCACACGCAGGAGCCGGCGATTTGCTTCAGCCAACTACGGACCCCCAACTTCGACATATTATCCCTGTAAAGGGCATGTATCCTGAATCAAGCATTCACGAGACAAACCCACCTGCTTTAACAAGGACACCTATGCAGCCGTACACTACTCACAATAGCAGTCTTGAGCAGCCACCCTATAACTATCCCGGTGCTTGGAACACACATCCGTGGCAAAGCCAATGGCCACCCTCACCCAATCAGACTCCTCCCTTTATGTCAGGAAAGCTGACACCAGAGATGCGGGCCCAGATTCGGCCTCAACCGCAGCCTCCTCCTTCAAGGCCACATCAACTACCACATCAACTACCCCCGCCACCGCCAATGTCAGCACCTTCCGTCCAGCCTCCGATTTATTCCAAAGGTCTTACCTACGAGAGTGATCGACTACCTCGGCCTACTCTAGCCAGACACTACCCAGTACTCGGACGTCCCCCGAGCCTCTCTCCGCAATCCCGACACCTTCAAATTCAAGCTGCCCAGGCCGCGCAAGCCGCCCAGGCCGCGCAAGCCGCGAAAGCTGCGCAAGCCGTGCAGGCCGTTATAGATCCCCGCCTAGCAGCAACAAGCGCACGCAATCCACAGGGTCCACTCCCCGCGATACCTACAGCATCTCGAGGGTTGACACCCCCAAGAAATCGTTCTGTTTCACCGCCAAGGCAAATGACTTCGGAGGGCGTTAACGGCAATGCAAATAAAGCTAGCTTATCAGCGCTTCTCAACCGGACACCAGCTAACTCGGAACCAAATAGCGCAAACCCAGGTAGCAATAATAGCGCGAACAGTTCACCCCGAGCTCTCCCAGCGGGTGCATCTGGGGTACCAGCACCCGCGGATATGTTTAAGGAGGATAATAGGGCAATACAATCACTTAATCGCAAATTTTACCTTTGAGGACTCTTAGGGGGACCCTATGATGGGAATCTGGCTGGCATCGGTCAGGCGTTCAAAGGTTGCATTCAATGAGAGGGGCAGGGAGGGCCTAGTGTTTTCTTTGGTGGCATGAGTGTTTTTCTACTACATATCTGCTAACTAGGCATCCTTAGCAGGTCGGAGTTAGGGTTCAGCTTCACGACGGTCATGACAGAGCTCAAGTACTGTCTCGATATTAATTCAGCACTTTGTACAGTACGCCCCCTGAAATAATGTTACCTTTTCAGACGTGCACGATACAAAATAAGGCTTCTAATTGTGAATAGAGCAAGGCCCTTTAAAACGGCTCAACTATTATACCAGGGTAGTTTAGTTTTGCATTGTTTACCGCTGGTTTCTCATCCACTTCGTAGACTTCGTACGTAAGTGCCGTTTGAAATCTGGTCCTCGCCGAGGCCAGGGGGGAGAATTGCAGGGATTGGAGATCGGCATGGTAGACACGATATCCCCCTGTAACGCATCCTGTTTATTCTTGCCTGGTTCTACCTATGTACATACATACTATGTACATATATGCTTACCTTGTATACTACATGTATGGTTGCAGGCCAAAGTAAAACGACACTGTCAGGTACCGCTAAAATAGGTTAGATAGCCCGCCTATACCAGATCAATACTAATTCTATCCAAAGCCTACATATTTAGTATACGATAATCCATGTTGGTTGGCTATGAGGTTAAATAAGGTTAATCAATTTAAACTTAAACTCGTCTGTTTATGACAACAAGCAATGGGCTAGCTTAGGTACCTGGCTATGTGGATGTTTTCGGCCACCAGCTTGACTTGGGAAAATATGCGTGTTTCTATTACTTATCTGGAGCAGTCATCGGACCATACTCGTGCTGTAATTGTCTGATACTCTCGTAGTTCCCGTGGCACTGGGGTCCTTTTTTAGCACGGACGGCGGGACGACGGTGGGGGAGCTTGAAGTTTTGTTTCATTTTCTTCTTCTTCTTCGTATGTTCCATTTTGGCTGGCAGGACTAGTGTAGATTGTACTTGGGATAGGTACTTCGGGATATGTGGTTCGTCCCACAATCGAGACAGAACTTAAAACCAACAATGTGGGTAAAAAGACGGTTGGATGTAACCATGTAACGGATCTAAAAGCGTTCCAGAATACCTTATCTTATGTAAGGTTATTTCGCATTTCTATCTCAATAGGGTCATCTTCCCCGTCACTAGTGACTAAGAGCGACAGGGATTCGGGTAATGGATTTCCCACCCCTTAACATTAGATTTCGAGAAGGTTAAGCTTAGCGCTGCCGATCAACGGCGATGACGTTAGGGCTTCGTGTGACCTAAGAGGTACATATGCTAGGTACACTGCAATATACACAGTACCTAGCCAACGGAAGTAGCCAACGGAAGTAGCAATTAAGTTTAGCTCCGCCGCCCCCTTAAAGCTAGAAACTTTACTGCGAATAAGCTAGTAACGGCATATGCCTTTTGTTTTAGTTTATCTTATTTTGGAATTGTAATTGGCACGGTCCTTTATTTGATACATAATCTCGTATCGTACAACACGTGTAATAACAATCTCCGATAGGCATTCCGGGGACCACCCAGGTTAAGGATATTTGGAATCATGGGGGCCGTTGGCTAAGCCTTCTCCCACGTGCGATTACATGCAGTACACCGCGCAGATAATGACATTCCACGTGACGTGACGCGAAGGAAGCAAACGGATCGCGTCGTCTAGCTACCTTTACCTATGTACTTACACGTGAGCTAGATAAGTAAATAATATGTAGGTACCTACCTAGGTATTATTTATTACAGATAACCAGGTACCTAGGTACCTAATATATATCTACGATCTTGCTCGAATTAGGTAACTTAGTTTCGAAATACGTAACCTATTATTAAGTAAATGCTGGGAACTGCCGAGTAACGAGAAAAAAAAGGAGGTTGGAAGTGAAGACGGGACATATGTACGGCAAATATGTACGTATATCGACAAGGGTTGACGATGCATCGCGTTGTGGATTCAACACATCGTCCCCCTAATCGACTTAAATGTGCCGGATCAGCGCAGTGCAGCGTGCGCATGTATAAATTATACAAACCTTGATATATCCCGTGCTCAGTACACGGCGCACGCAGATCTTGTACGTATATATGAAAAATATGACAATATAAGTTCCACTACGCCTCACTGCCTCGTATGAGGCCTAAGTTTAAAAGGTTTAGACTTATAACTTCTATCGAATCTGAGGCTCAGCGCGGTTTTCGCTCATTTAGTGAAATAGTTAATGTGTTATGTGGGAAACGTTAATATATAATATAATATAACTAGGCGAGGTAAATACTTGCGTTTTAATGAGATCATACCCATATAGCCTTTGAAGAAACGAACGATATTACTGTTGGACCGGAAACAAGTAGGTATTCTATGGAGGCGTTCACTCCTAATGCGCGTAGAGCCAACGAGGCGGGATGTACATACCGACCCAGCTAGCTAGGACGGAGTTAGAGCACCGGGAATTTTCACAGCTTAATACGTGTGATAGTTTTTAAAAATCGCAAAGTAGGGGAACTCTGATATGCTACTCCGATGGTAGCATACGAATTCGAATTAGAAAAAAACCCCCCGTCTGTACAAGCTCCCGCGATATAAGTGTATATTACCAAGGTCTGCGGGTTATATACGGCTATCTAAATAACTACCTTGATGCGTTTTCTATGTTTTGGTTTACGGGCTAAAAACCCCTACTGATATTAAAGTAGTTTACGGTTCTGTCTTTCTTTAGCAAAAGTTGTGGCTTATTAGGCTTGTTTCTTTGAACCGACATCGACAACTACTCCAGATTTCGCCCCGAGAACACTAACGTTCAACTACGTACTAAAAGTCGTGCGTAAAAGTCTCAATGTAGTATGTGCTTGAAGTATATTAAGCCTAACTGTGGTATTTTTATTCACATTCTCTATTCTAAACTACTCGCTCCTTTCAAAACCCAATACTCGACGGGGTTGCCACTCATCACACACACACACACATATATATATATATATATAAAGAGGGAGAGAGAGAGAGAGAGAGATTAAACCAAGGTGTGAAAGAGAAAAGAGAATATTTAAGATCTCAGTCTAAAATCTAGTATATACTGCAACTCCCGTCCTAGCTTCAATACCAGAGAAGTTAGACACAGCCTTTCCTCTTTTCATTTATGACTTTGCCATATTTGTATTATCCCGCCTTCTTCCCATTGGAACCCCTCGTATCCTATGGGGGTATATGTCATGAATAGGGGCTAAATATCTAATTTAGACTGTACGACACCCTCGTAACAGAGTAACTACTGTAGTTATTGCACCAGACGATAAACAAAACCAGCCGTGGTTGACATATGGTGTACTTCAAAAGCAGCCTGTTAAAGAAGAACTAAACCAGAAGATAGATGTCCCACTCGGCGTATATTGCTCTATACGAGGCCGCAAATAGTCCCCAGCATCGTATAATTCACACATGCGGTTACAGCACCAAGCAAACCCGATAGATGATTTTCTTTCTTTTGATGTCCCTTTACCTACTTTCTCTATTTTAGGAAATTTTGCGAGAACAGGGATCAACTATACTGTAGGTGGGCACAGCACACATCACAGACGCCGTTGAAAGGATCCGGACCCGGATCCATCTCAGGGATGTCCCCGCTTTCTTCCTGCGAAGTTTAAACAGAGCCGCGAAGGAATGCATATAAAGCGTGACTGAGTGCAGGCAGAGTACCTAAACGCCCATCTGGGATCCCTCCTAACAAGGCGTAGGTACTTTACTCCAAAGTCTTGCGATTGTTCCCTACCTAGGTACCTAAGGCGTATGACCTGCTAGAACTTAGGAACTGGCTTTACCCTAGCCCCTTGGCATATAATTCATCGATGCGTGTCAGGGACCAATATACGCCCATCTGGGGCCCTATGTTCGTCTGTGAATAGGCGGATAGAAGGGTTAGGGTTAGTAGTAAGACGGGCCCCTAGTGATATAAGTGGACACTTGTTTCTGTTGCTGGTGATATGGGAACTTCTTGAACCAACGGATGGGCTAATGGAAATAATAGCTATCTGGGTTAGGGATACGATACCTTAACTATAGAGATGACTTAGATGTTGGAATGAATCGATTCTGGCTATAACTCTAGATTTGGTGACATACTTAAGTGTGCTAATATTTTAATTTGCTACTGTAATGCCTATCTTATGTATATGATAATATATGCTAGCGACTTAATTAAGTTTAACGTGAAGTATACTGGGATAGTCTCGGGAACCGATTTATAAAAGTCTTGAAGTATATGATAGCTGGGTAACTATTTTTACTACTAGATTTCTTCTTCACCTAGGGAATTTTTGTGGTCTTCGATAGGGGTGGGCTGACTGTCAACACTGTCCCATTTCGCAATAAATAGTTAGTCTAGAACGACGAAGTTCATGGTAATAGACCGAGAATCATTTATTGTACTGTTTAACTTTTATATGTTATACTCGAGTTTATTCTGTATGGTGATGTTTCAGACGCTAGAGCGGATCTCAAGGACAAGGAAAACAGCGCATGTTAGCTAGCGCTATACCAACATGACACCTGCCACCTACTGGAGGATGGCAAACTATAAGGTCTACCCAAAGCATTGCCGGTTATAGTAATTGTAGTCAAGGGCGTTAAGGACACCGGCTAAATGAACTCCAGTGGCCAGGACGACCAGGACGTGAAATATCTGGTGTGATGATCCATATATATCGAATAATCCCGGGCTGATACTCTCAGGGAACCTCGTCTGTACGGTCCATCACGGTCTAGTTAGTGACATAGATCCTCTTGTTCCTATCTATTGTGAGAATACCTAAAGTGGAGGGGGGTATTCCGAAACAGAATAGTATTAATAAATAGACATAGGAGGGCTAGTAATTGACCTACGGCATATATAATGGCTCCGATGAGAAACAATCCCCCTTCAGCTAGGTAGTAAGGTAGGCCAGATTGCTTCATCATCTGTGTGAAGCCGAACATGACGATCCCGTGGATAATAGGGGCCAATCCAGATAGCCCCGTGCATACGAATGTGAGCAGGCGTAAGGTGCGCCACTTTGGGCCCTGAAACGTGGGTGCTAACACGATAATTATGGATATTGAGGCAAGAGACCCTATCTGCAAACCAGTACAGAGATAACTCGTTAGTTTAATTCCAAATAAAGCTGTGTCATATTAGGTGCTTGGTATTTGGTCGTTTCCATTGGTCCACTAACGGTCGAAGGTTTGATCAGAGCAGCGGACTGAAAATGATTGTTACTTGCCATAGACCAATAAATCTTTCTTTCCAACGTCTCGCACCAGAAACCAACGTAGACGCCCGAGATGAGAGACCCTAGTATTAGCAAAATGATGCCGACAAAGTCAAGACGCAACCACAGAGCTTCTACTTCTCGAGAATGGCACATTAGCGTATGGTAAGCGCTAGAGAGACCGAGGCATGCCGTTGCGGAAAGTAATAGTACTGCGACGACACCGGCATCGTCGCTACTGCGGTGCTGTAGGCGCGAGACTAGATAAGCTAGGCCACTTATGAGGAGAGCTATTGCTGGCACTAGGTGCGTAAAGATGTTCACTGTCTCATTGTGTAGGTATAGCCAACTTCCGAAGCAGACTCTCGCCGAGTGAGAGACGGGTCGGTAGCCTCGTCGGACATATGGGTTGTCCTGGTACCAGTCTGGGATTTCATCGTATAGGGCTAAGGGATGGCTGTGTTTATCCTGCCGTGTCTCGCTTTGGGAACTCCTCGTCGAAACATCTGCGCTGTCACAGTTCGGTTGCTGCTTCTCGTCTGAAGATGTAGTAGCGGACCAATTAGACCAATTTGGCGTAATGTTGACCTCTTCTGATAGCGGCGGCATCATGACCTGCTCGTCCTTGAACATGCGGCATAATAAACATAGAAAAGAGCGTCTTCCCCTATCCCTTCTTCGTATTGTATTTCAAAATATTTTAGGGGAGATATTCCCAAATCCCAAATCGCTTGATTTGCATGTGCGGAGTAAAAGGGCGGGGTCGACGATCTTGTCCTATTGCTTGTAATTTGCCAGCTTCTGTCGAGAGCTAGATCACCGAAATACCGGGGGACCTGGAACCAGAAATTCCATTAGGATGCCAGGATGCCAAAATGCCTCAAATTGTCAATAAGTACGGTATTATGTATTAACAGCAATGACATCATCATATGAAGGAGAACGAACCCCTTTTTTGATCTAGTGTGGGGCATCACAACGCTTGTTGAATTTCCGAAGACCTCGGATGGATACGAGACGAGGAGAGCAACCCAGAATTTCTCGGCATCGTTTACACCTGATAGGCTTCTTTGCTGGCTATAGGCTATAACCCACCGAAAACATCGGGATATCCTGATAGAAATTGAAGTAACGACGCGCAACATAAGTGAAGCTATACCCAAAATTATAATTGAAGACATCAATAAATGTATGAGTTCTCCATGTTAGCCATCTAAAAGATGGTCAAGTCCTTGACTGATTACATTAGCAGAAACACGACACAAGCTCACTAGAGCCCTTCTGCTGTTAATGGAACGACAATTCAACAAGACTGTTGCTCAAAAGAGACTGAATAAAAAAATAAAATTTGAATGAGTTGGGTATAATTGCCGCAATGCAAAAAATCCGTACTCAACATACCTTGAAAAATATCTCTGGCTGTCATGAAATTCCTTGTCGCTAGGCCTAGATCAAGTGGCAGATTGCTCGAACTGAATCACATTTTGAGATAGCAGTGCCGTCGGTATGAGCAGTACGCATAAATGTAGCGTAGTTTCTGAATGATTTGCTGAGAATTCAACTATAATTCCAGTTCGATATCTGCTATTTGGAGTTGTAGGTGGGCATCGGAAGATTGCTAAAGGCTGAGCACTGCCCATTTCCTTGGCTTTAAAAAGAGCTTCCTCGATCCGCCATCCATTTCCGTGAAGGGAACTATGTGTAGGTAATATCTCGGTCCCAACCCGGAGTTGCTGAAAGATTAAAATATCAATCAGATATGCCGATAGTTGGTTGCGAGAATGATAATTCGTTTACTGTAGGGCTTGAAACCGCACGAGGCCGTCCTAGTTAGTCGTACTTCCGTATTGTGACGGGCGCATCTGTATTTAAGTCCAGTATATCAATTTGCACCATCTCCGTTTCTGTGGCTGCTTGAAGTATTAGCACCTGGTAGCACCTGGTACTTGATGCTTATCCAATATGGTTCGTCCAATGATGCCAGAGATGAGATGATAACCACAATAGGAGGTTGAAGGCATGGGACCGTTTTATAGTCATCGTCAATAGTTCAGACCTTCCTAAAAAAGTCCATAGAATTTGCTGCTTCATACCCGAAACTTGTCAAGAACGTTGTCGCAATGTCTTTAACGTGGTTATGCCTCTGTTGATTAGCCCCTAAGATGGATCGATACTGGAAATTTGCACCGAGCAAGTCCTTTCTTGTTGATGTAACACTTGTGCTGGTAGGCCTTTGTGATAGAATGTCCGCAAGTCAGCCGTAAATTTGACAGGATGTCGTGGTCATGCTCGGTAGCTGAAATGCTGGCAGATCATATGGGTGACGTGGACATCTCAATCGCGAATCATGACCCCACACAGCGATCTTTTGCATTTAATCCATCAGGCACGAATCGAGATAATGACGGCCAGGTTACCAGATTCTCAGTGAACCAGGATGATGGTTAAAAAGGGCGTAGAAACCTATTGGTGAAGAGTACACAGAGTTGCTTTTCGCTTGCAGCCTTGAAGCATCTCCGTGAATGTGGCTCGTTATGACACGCGCCGCGAATGTGTACATGTGTCCTAGGGAATTGAGTCCGGAATTGAGTCCTAGTTACTGAACTCTTTTCCAGATGAATAGACGAAACGAAGAACATTGACCCCTCGTTTGACAGAATAGGTACGAAACCACCCAAAGAGCCTTGGATTACCGCTGTTGTGATATGCGCCGCGATAAACTTGCAGTTTGGAACACGACATGAAATGCATCCCATGTGTACACCGAGACGCGTTTCAATACCAAAGCTTCGCGGGTTAGATGTTGAAAATAGTAGACATTACCTCCTTAAGTCGCCAAAGTACGTTAGGGCTAGAAAGATCAGTAGGAGATAAGATTTATGTGTTGGGTAGTTGAGGTGGTGCGAGATATGCGGATAGCTTCATGTCGTGGGCGGATGCAGGTGGGTTAGCAGCAAAATAAAATAAAACCATAGCTAAACAATACCCGCCTTTCCGGAATTGCAAGAATAGCAATGGAATATCAATTATAGCTTGAAGATAGCTAAACAACTGAAGAATCACTTGAATTGAGGCTTGGAAGCCAATGCATGGGTTATGAAGCCACCATCTCGAATGCGACCGATGACATCGAAAACCAAATCGGCTGAAAACAAACTAGAGGCTCTAAAGATGGACCAAGATACAGTTGGGCATTATACTAAATCATTCTTTTCAAAAAAATCGGACTATTCTATAGAACGTCAATAAATGACTCAACAGATCGCCTGATTAAAAATGTGTGGGAGGCAACGTAGAAGAAGAAGAGGGAGAAGGGGAGAACAGAAAGACGACGGGGAAAGGGGGGGGACGGTGGGAGAGTTGGGTGTGTGAGGGCTCGAGTTTCGTAGGCGCATGATTTGATCGATGTGAGTTAAGAAGTGACAAGAAAAAAAATAAAAAATAAAAAATAGGTACTTTGAAGCGTGAGCTGTTGCTTGAGCTTCGGCCAATCAAAAAATTCGACGAACACGGATCAGCTTTATCGAACTGGGGAAAGATTCTAGGCGCTGTGAGAGGTCCAAATCAGCATCGAATCATTCCGTCCAAGCATTTGACTGGCTGGTGGAGGCTATGCAGGATACCCATCGGGCTGCGCGCTATTTAGATCTAAACCCGACTAGGAAGTAGTTTAGATGTTTCAGTGAGATAATGCAACCTTAAATGTTAAAATAGGCAAGGTAGGCAAGGTAGACAGGGTAGGCAGGGTAGATAGAGTGCGATCGGGTCCAAATATAATGGGTGAAAGGTGCGTGTTGCCTATATTACCTGCCCTGACTTGTTGGCAATTTATTAGGTACATATGTAAGTATTTATTTTAGTGCTAGTGTAGCGAATTTTAAAGTGAATCCATTTTTATGGAGGGGGAGGAGAGGAGGAAGCACCAATTTCTCCCACTGTAGCTGATTGTACTAGACTACCTAACGTACTTACTGATTGTACACGACCCCCCGCCTAATATATAAGCAAGCTCACCTTTCTCGCTGTCGCGTCCCGATCGAATGCCTCCCTCCCTTCCGTTTCCTCTCGACTATATTCCTTCCGTACAGTAGAAACATTCCCGTTTGCATCTATTTACTAGAAAGTCATTCTCAGATCCAATTGATCATTTCAACCGAACTGATTACTCGCATCCATTCCAATCACGCGTCAAACCAATAACCACCACATTCGAAATGGGTCCCAAGAAGGCAGACGGAGCTCCCAAGCCCAAGAGCACTCATGCTTCCTATCAGGTATGTACAGACAACTCGACCGGCATTTTACTGGACCACCTTGAGTACTAACATGTTATAGGACATGATTACTGATGCCATTGTTCATGTACTTATCCCCATTCCTTTGCCTCCGGCGCATCGTGTATTGTCTAGTTGGTGTTTGTGGTTGGGTTGCATGCCAGGTGGTCATCATCCAGCGCTGCCACTCAACCTTACATGACTAGTACCATCGTATTCAGATTTTATTGAGTGAGCATGCTGACGCGTCTTTTTGACTTTAGCTTAAAGAGAGAAATGGTTCTAGGTAAGGAAATTTGAGCACTCCTGTCCTAATACCCACTATTTCAGTGGTCGCGTTTACCCTCGATCAATCTGTGCTAACTATATCATAGTCGTCAACAACTCAAGAAATATGTCAGGGCAAACAACACCATCATTGCTACAGACAAAATGTTCGACTCTCTATTCAACAAGGCCTTGAAGGCTGGTGTTGATAAGGGTATTTTCGAGCAGCCTAAGGGTATGTCTTAAACATTTGTTGCCTATCGTACCTATGCTTGGGTATTGACTTGTTATAGGACCTTCTGGTGGCACTAAGCTATCAAAGAAGTCTAAGCCTGCCGCGGCTAAGCCGGCTGCCAAGAAGGAGACCGAGAAGGATGCTCCCAAGAAGGCTGCCCCGAAGAAGGAGACAGCTACTAAGAAGGCTGCCGCACCAAAGAAAGCAGCAGCTCCCAAGAAGGAAGCTACTGAGAAGAAGCCTGCAGCGAAGAAGGCTGCCGCTGCCGCCCCCGCCCCCAAGAAGGCCCCTGCTGCTAAGAAGGCGGCGCCCAAGAAGGATGTAAGTTTACGCATGATCTTGTTGGCTTCTACATTATCTAATGGATTTAGGCTGCTCCCGCTGCTGCCGAGGACAAGCCTGCTGCTTTGACGAAGACCAAGGCTGGCAGAGTTACGAAGACTGCGACGACGGCTAAGCCAGCTGCTAAGAAGGCCGCGCCCAAAAAGGCTGCCGCACCCAAGAAGGAAAAGGCACCTAAGAAAGAGGCAAAGGCTGAAGCTGCAGCATGAACATTCGCATCTTGATTTGTGTCATTCGAATTGTGTGTTGGGGTTCGGCGGTTTAATGGCGTTCGGGGAACAGGGTACAAAGTTACGTGTGCGTCTTTACTGCGCCATGGAATTCGGCGTGTTTTTGGAAGGGTCGGTAAGGATTTCAGTGAAGGGGGGCGATAATAGCTCCGAAGCGTTGCAGATGTGTCCGACATACCTTCAGCGGTGCCAGCGGCTCGTGTGCATATTGTCCTTCCCTTAGCGGGATCATGGTTGTTTCGGTTGGATTGCACATATTCCCCAGTCATGGCATCTGTTAGAGGATGGGTATGGAACTGACGACATCATGAGTATACTTGTAATTATACCAATGAAAATGAAGGCCTTCGCACGGCTTCCGACCTATGTTTACCTTGTTTAAGTCTCGTCGCGGTTGTGAAGTTTTTATGTAACACTGGTTAACGCGTTTGCTCACCATGGATTTGTTTACGACCTGGTTAGGCAGGATTGCGGGGCTCCTACTGGTGTTGATAGTGGCTATCACGTGTGGTGAGAGGGGCTCTTATATTAATATACTATTCCTATCGTGGTGCATCCCCATGATTCTGATTGGTTGTAAGTAGTCATACCCCGGTAAATGCCGATTATCACCTACATGGCGCGACCGTAAGCGTAAACAAGCGTGTGTGGCTATGTCAATAAATTCGGTTTGAATAACCATATACATGGGAGGAGCCTTGAAACGTATATTTCGTCTGAATCGGACGCGGAAGATGTAAGACGAGTGACGAGATTATGCCAACTACTTATGCACAGTGCATTAGGTAGTTAACCTAGTAGTTATTGTACGTCTTAAATTATGTAATATAAATAGCAAAATAGCTTGAAGCGTTAACTGCCCAAGTATAGGTAGCCAGAGCATTGTTCTACTACAAAGTCTAATAGTTTAGAGTTTAAGTTGTCTAGGAATGTCCTATTAATAACGGAGTATAGAGTTGGTTGGTAAATAATATTGCATAATATGTATAACTCTCCACACCTTAAACTTAGACTTGCAGACTCATGACTTACAGATTTTAGTACCACGATCTTCCCTCTCCACTCTACATAGCTTGCTACACTATATCTTACTATGTAGGTTAGGGTATATAGTAGTGTAGATCTACGTTATGTTTATCCAGCTGATAACCCCTTTTTAGATTAGCCTCGTATTAATCTATATACTATGGCTATTGCCTCTTCAATCCAGCAATTTTGGAGTCTAGTACACTATTTGGAGGTTTAAGGTATGATGGAACTCTATCGTTATCAAATAAAACGGTGTCGCAATCCGATAGCCCGCTTACACTAGGTACCGAAACTTCCGAAGACTCTATCCACTTTTATCTCTAGCCTAGGCTGACTTCGCATTATACCTCTATGTACATATCTAATCAATACAGTACATCGCTCTCAAGTTGTTCTTTTCTACTGTATGTCGTAGTCTGGAGGGGGATCTACAACTACACTACAACAACTACACTACAACTACGACTACAACTACAATACCACGCCAATACCGACGTCGACCCGACTCACGTATCGCTAATATATCATGGCCAGCCTAACATAGCTTCTATTGCTTTCTCTGCACAATCCGTCTAAACTGTGCTTTGTTAGGCGCTCCATCATCGCATCATCGCATCATGTCTTCGCGAGATCAGTCCCTCAGCTCTAATAACCCCTTTCGTCGGAAGTTAGGCTATCCTTCTCTCTCAACCGACGGCCTCGCCCCGGCGCCCGCCTCGAGTTTCAATAAACCCTCCGATCCTATCCCACGAACACCATTTACGACTTTCAAGTCAGCCCCGCCTGAATATGCTCAGCACAACGAGCACAACGAGCACAAGGCGCACGAGGGGAGAGAGGAAGAGGCGGCGCCGGTACAACCGAAGCCGAAAAAGGTCATCAAAAGAGTTCGAGTCCAATCACCACCCCCATCGTCACCCGAGGATTCCGTACCCGTCAGCCGTTTTCCTTCCGTAAGCGATGACGATGACGACGGATACGATAGTGACAATAGCGACCTACCAGAGTATATTGACCACATTGATCCAACCGGCGCGGACTCCTTTGCTATACGAGATCGGGATAGCTCTGAGTTTGGCCGATCAGAACCTCCAGCGAATCCCTTCACAAAGACGCTACAGGATTTGGAACAGTCCGGGCAAGAGCAAAGTACTAAGGCACTGACAAAAGGAGGCCTTGATGTTGACTCGTTCAAGAGACTTTTATTGACAGGACACGCAAATATCCCAAGCCGCCCATCCGCGTCAGCACCCGAATTAGGAGGGTATCCGAGCGTTCAATCCTCCTTATATGGCGGCGAGACTAGCACGGACGCACGTTTTAGAGCAAGCCAGTCTATATTTGATACTGCGTCAAAAGAAAACTCTCGAATTTCACAAAAGAATCCCCGATCGGAAGATCCAGGGGAGCGAAGAGGCGCCCTGTCCCCGTCTCCCCTTTCCTCGGCCCCTCCCTCCTCAACGAAGAAAAAGCCACCTCCCCCTAGCTCACGACATGGAAAACTCATAAAGATCGAGTTGGGAGCAGGTATAGAATCCCCTACCACCGGAAATTCAACACCTCCTGTATCTATAAATGTCACCACCCTACCTTCTACCGGACCGTCACGTAGACCCAATTCCCAGGCGGGCACCCCGTCACAATCTCCGCTTTTATCAACTGATGTGAACAAACCACTCCCGCTAACACCATTCCGCCCCTCTGTGGAAGAGGCAGTTGATTCCCCATTCGATCGCGAGGCTATAGGAAAGGTTCCCGAACCCTTCACTGATCCGCAGGCGAATCCCGAACCGCCAATATCATCCCCAGCTGCTCAAACTTACTCTGAGTCGAACGGCATCACGCAATCCCGCAAACCCGCAGCCCCTCCGCCACGCCGACACGGAAGAAGCGATAGTAGAGCGCCTTCTATTAATACTACGAATGTAGATGAAGATACCCCACCAAGATCATCACTAGAGTCGAACCGGTCGCGAGCTGATAGTTTACGCGCGAATACTAACCTGGGTAATAATCCAAACGTACCCGCTCCACCACCTCCTCGCCGGCCGAATCATGCCAGACAGGGAAGTTCGTTTACGAGCCCAACCCAAGGGAATTTTACTCCGGCCTCTACTATAGGGCCAGTCGAAGACAACCGGAGCCCAATAGGAACGGGTCTTGGACCCGTGAGTAAAATTGGGCAGACAGAAGCTCTGAGTAGTCCAGCGACTATAGCCACAAACAAGGAAGGCCTGCCCAAACTATCCCCGCCGCCCCCGCCACCTACTAGACAAGCCAGCACGAGACGCCCACCAAGTGTCAGGAGTATAGATCTTAGCAGCGGGCCTGGTATAATAAGGCGAGTTAGTAGGGAGAAAGATGGAACAGTGCCACCCCCTCCACCACCTCCCCCGAGACAGCGTGGTAGTAGCCGTGCGAGCGTGGAAAATTCAGCTGTGCTTGCAGAGAACGCGGAGAATACGAGCAGTGACACCCAGAAGGAGGCCACAATCCCCACTCAAACTACTGCTGAGGCTGCGATAGATACCAAGCAAGGGGCGGAGATATTGGCGGACCTCGACGCATTGCAGAGGGAGGTCGATGCTCTAATGGGAAGATACGGAAATGTCGGCGGGAGCTAAGGAGTACTTACCTTCTAGCATTTCCGAAATAAAATTTAAAACTAGGAGGTTCCCGTAGTGCGAACTAACAGGCACTCATGGGAGTGTACGAGGACCTTTCAAAAGAGAGAAGATCGGAAGGTTAGCATGGCCTAGACCGGTTCTTCCGCGACTGGATATGAGATATGAACTATGCGTCACAAATTATGAACGTTATATAAGGATCCTTGTACAGCAGGTAATTGTTAATGCTGGGGCCGACGGATGTCCGGACACACTGGCCCTCGGCCGGAGATTATAGTGCAGCGCAGTTATTCCAGACCGAGAGAGAGAGAGAATGAAGCGTAAAGTTTGATACCTTCCTTTTTTGTTCCGCCGCAGCGCGTAAGTGTGTAAGTATGGTTGGTGCCACTTGTCCATAGGTACCTATGTACTACTTGTCTGTAGTCGTAGGCCCGTGGTAGCTTGCAGATTTAAATGTGTGCTGGTGATTTAGTATTTATATTTACATTTTAGCGTTGGGGATGTAGGGACGAAGCGGAAGTAAACTTAGAGGCGTAGTTGGCCGCATGGGGCTGATGGGTAGGTAGTATGGATTATAAAATAGGGCTACGAGGGAGAAAATCGCAGATTTCTCATGGAGGGTTTGGAGGAACTTTCCTAAGCTTACTGGGGAACTTAGCGGCAGTATTTAGAAGACCACTTCCTAAGCTAGCTACCTAGGTACGTAATGTGGTACTGGGTTATAAGTCAGCCCTTGATATTGGCATATACACTAGGTAGGTATAATTAGTAGCTGTCTGGATCTATCTTTATACTTCTAAGTTGCTTTCATCGAAAAAGGGCATCACCTTTACATTAGGCTAGGTTAGTATATTTCCAGACAGCCTGTCCTGATTCTGTACAGGCCCCAGGTAATTTTGGACTTTACGTCTTTTTATACGTAGGTACCTAAGTAGATACTCCCCGGCATACCAAGAAGATTGAGATATGGCTTATATCGTCCCAATATCCCGTGTTGCCACAAGCCATGGCATCTGGGCCATATTTAACATGAGATTATTCATCTACTACCTGGTGTAAAGATATGGTTTACTAATGAATCCTTTCAAACGTGGGTTTTAAGGGGGAGTGGTTGGGTATTTTATGCCTAGTATCTCGGTGGGGAGATATAGTACACAACATGTCCCATTTGACACCTCTGAGAGATTCTACCGTGGATAATTTAGCCTTTACGACAACTTACGTCGGGCGTTTAAAAAACTACCTATATAAGAAGTATATTAGTAGTATAAAACAATGGATTTGGCGGAGTGAATCAGTTGAGTCTACGAGGAATTGTGGAGAATGCGTTAGAATCAACAAACCTGGTAGCTAGCTATTTTCTACTCTATGTAACCCCTCCACCAAGGTTCTCATTACACGGTAGTATATGAGTAGAATGATTATCGAGCTGCTGTCCTCTTGGTTTAACCTCTCCTCCCCTTTCATAAGTTGTCCCTTCACACTGCTTTAGTTCCTGGAAAGACCAATGCTTTCTAAGACCTTTATACGTCAAATACCATGCATCCGTTAGCCGTTGCTTGCCGGTCGTTTAGTATATATTCTCTTACCTATATCAATTACTGCTAGGATATCAAGGCGGTATCTCACCAATAGCTCGATGAACTATAACACCTAGTGTTGAGTCCTCCGTTCAGTAGGTGACACTATCTTGGCTTGGCAACGAAGATACTGCGTTATCATGGTGAGATGTCTTTTTAACTCTTACATTTACTTTGATGTTCTGTATTTAACTGCTGGAATAGGAAGTCAAGTCTCTACGGCGATTTAATACGCCCCGAGAGGCAATGGAGTCTCTCGGCTGATTTGTGAGACCGTGACCGTCGATATGAAGGACCTCGGCCGGTGCCCCCTTAGAGCTAAGCGGCGGTATCCGATGGTTTCCAGGCGATAGGTAAGAGGAGGAAATGCTAAGTGTAGATCAAGAGGGCGAGGCCTTCTCGTACCTGCCGATCGAGGATGCTGGATGCTGGATGGTCGATTGTTGTCTTTTCACTACCTACCTAACATATGTCAACACGAACGTTCTAATAGGTGGCATGATAACTCGTTTATATTGACTTATGCCGTTCGGAAGTACGGGGTATTACCGAGAGAGTTTAAGTGGCCCGGCGATGGTGACAACGCGCACCGACAGGACGGAGAAACTAATCCAATAGAGCAGGTGGTAGTACCAACCGATGTTGTATTAAACTTGAGGCTCGAAGCTAACGCCGGGACCTGAAGGGGGACAAGGATACATATGAATTGCCTTACAGCCGCCCCTCGAGCCCAAAAGAAGCATTTTATAGTATCTTCCCCGCCACCCCAACGGCTCCTACACTTACATATAAGCTTTAATATATGCGCCAAGCCAAAGGAGCCGACGGCCAAGGAAGAAGGTCAAGATGATGTGGGTAACTACCTACCTACCTATAGACGGTAATCCGACAGGCCCGCATAACTCGACAATAGTTAAAAGAGCGATCTTAGCAAGATCGGGAAGGTCTGGTAGTTATGCGCCGAAAACCCGACATCTATAACACTCGAAGATCATAGTTAGCCAGTCGCATGTCATCGAATCTTAGCTTCCAGATTTGCAATTCAGCTCGTCGAAGATCCGGCCACCTCCCGAGCTGATTTGCATTTTTTCGAGCGCCAAGAATCCGGATATTCTAGACCCCTGCGACGCGGTTTTCAGATTTACCAAGTTGCAGAAACCCGATCATACCCAAGATCCCAACCGCGACCGTCCCCTCGCTGCCGGGTAAATTGTCTTGGAAATTGTCTTGGATACCTACCGCATGGAGATGACTTCTTTCTTCGCCATATCCTCGCGAATCGACTGATAATGCGATGCGCTGAGGGGGACAATTGTAACTGCGTTCCTGGGAGAGGTCGTTATCATGATTAATAGGGGTTACAGCTAACGAATATGGCTGCTAATTCCGTGACTCCGCCATGTCCTCCGACGGGATGACCGCGTTGACGAGGTGAAGCGAGAATGTTATCTTCCTCCCATCGGACCTGTAACGATCTCCTTCCGAAGTTGGAAGACGGCTTGATATCGCCCATAGGTACGGTTCTCCCCAGACGTGTTCCTGCAGCATCGTTTCTGCGACGGACGAGTAAGATTGACACACTACCGTGTCTCTGACTGAATCAGGATGCTGGTCATTGGTTAGATTGTCAATGCTGGCGACCCGTCATGAGGTTACTTCGACTACCGTGTTGATACAACTATGACAGGTCATATTGCCGTCGAGAGTATGATTCCATCGGCTTGGCGTCTAGTTTTAATGCTTGAAGGATATAGCGTCCTCCTACCCTACTTTGCAGCTTCCTGAATGCGCCTAGAAAGAAGACATCCTTCTAGAAACATACTTCAGCTAGAATCTCCGAGTTCGACATCGTGCACCCGCCGGCTATAAAAGACCCCTTTCCTCTCTTCCAAGTTGTGAGAAATTCCTAGCCAGCAAGCAGCTCGAACAAGATCCTCGGCAGCTCACGACCAATTCGGCATAATCTGAATATCTTCAAGATGAAGTTCACCACCGGCATCGCCCTTTTCGCCGCTGCGGCCAGCGCTCTTTCGGTCGACCTGAACAAGCGTGACTCTCCTCTCGATGTCAAGCTTGAGATGGTTGGCAACACAGCCGTCAAGGCTAGCATCACCAACACGTACGTAGGAGCTGATTTCCTAGGAATTTCACTCTCCCCCACGAGAAGTCTAAACGGATTTGGCATGAGAACTAGAGCTGACATGAATTCTTAGTGGTGCTTCTGACCTGAAGGTCTTTAAGACCGGTACTTTCCTGGATGAAAATGCTGCCACCGAGAAGGTTGCTATCTACCAGGGTGGTAAGTTTTCTGCAAATGCATTATGGACTGTTAGGGGGGACTGACAAGGCCTGCTAGGTAACAAGGTTCAATTCGACGGCATTCGCCTGCGCGTCATGACCACTGGACTCGACGAGGAAGCGTTCAAGACTATCGCTGCCGGCGAGACTGTCGAGGCCACCTTCGACGTCGCTCAGGTTTATGACCTCAGCGCTGGCGGTAAGTATGACGTTGTCTCTCTGGGAGCCGTGTCCTATGCCGAGCTCAACACTACCGACATTGCTGGCATCTACTCGGTTGCTGGAAGCACTATCACCGCCGAGATCGATGGCGCCGCCGCCAAGGAAGTCCGCCGTCGCTTCCACGCTAAGCGTCTCGCCGTTCAGTCCGACTGCACCGGAAGCAAGCTTAGCGCTACCAACACGGCCATCAGCAACTGCCGCGCTTTGGCCTCAGCCGCCCAGACTGCTGCGACCTCGGGCGATGCCGCCAAGGTGACTGAGTACTTCAAGTCGAGCTCTAGCTCTACTCGTAGCACAGTCGCCAGCTTCTTCTCGAGGGTAGCCAGCCAATGTAGCAGCACTACATCAGGCGCCCGCCTCTACTGCTCCGATGTGTACGGCGCATGCTCGAGCGGTGTCCTGGCTTACACCCTGCCATCAGCCCAATACGAGGTTAACTGTAACCTGTACTTCACCGCACTGCCGGCCTTGACCAGGACTTGCCACGCCCAGGACCAGGCGACCACAACCCTTCACGAGTCGACCCATCTCTACGGCACCGATGACTACGGCACCTACGGATACTCGGGTGTCCGCGGTCTTTCGGCCTCCCAGAACTTGAACCACGCCGACACCTATGCGCTCTTCGCCAACGCCATCTACGTTGGCTGTTAAACGTGTTGCTGCCAGCTTACTGGTTCTCCTGTTGGATAGGGGGCTATTGTTTCGGGCATGGAACGCTAATACTGCTAAGGGGAAGACAAAAAGAAAGAAAATAAAGGAAAAAGAAAAAGACAGTCCAAAAGAGTCTAATTTTTTTTTCTATTCTTCTGCCTTCCTCTAGAAGGAGCTTGTCAAAGAAAATGTTGTTTCGTGCACTGTCTTTCGTCCGATAGTGGGACAAAGCCCGTAAGAAGGCGGGGAGGGGAGCGAGCGCAAACTTCTCTTGGATACAAAAGCGGGATTCACGTGTTATTCTACCATTGTTTTTTTTTAATACGCAAATAAATGTCTTCATCTAGTATCACAAAGCAATTGTTCTGTCTTATAGGCATCCGCTTACAAGTGACGTGGTTTAAAACCAGAAATCACACGTGTTTAGGGTACCGAAGTAACCATCACACTTCATTCACCTCACCATCCTTAGATATTGGCTGGCCATTGCGCAATTTACGCAATTTAGATTTTCTTCTTACCTAGCATCCTCAGGAAGGGTGTTTCTTACCATTTTAAGTTTTTATTAGCAAAGCTCATATTGAGTCCGCTCAAACAGGACAGACTCAAATTTCTTCGTCTCTCTTTTCGACCTATATCCACCCCTTCGGTTCTGTGCAGCGCACTTACTTTTCGCATACGTTAGGTACCTCGATAATCATGCGGCCTTGGCAAGCGTCTACTACACAATATAAACATCACCAAGCCGGGCCGCAAATATCTCAAGACAACCCGATGGGTGATATGCGCGACGCCAAGAATTCGGTCGCGTTGTTCGCCGACTACATCAACCGGCTACGGCCTGATATCTCCCGGCCGCACAACAACGTTGATCTCCTCAGCTATTCGCCGTCCACGGTTAGCCGCCAGGGATCCAGCGGCTCTGCAGATGGATCGCGCAAAAGTTCGTCAAAACGACATCACAAAAGTGTGAGGAAAGAATGGGCCGAGTCACCCCAGGGAACGCTTTGGAATAACATCAGTAACACACTTCGGGAAGTCGCGGCCGAGTTACCGGACGTGAATCCAACCGCGATCCAGGAGTTCATCAGCGCGCGAGAGATCTTAGAGCTAGGAGCTGACTTCGTACGCTACTACCGCGAAAGTAGCCATGCTATGGAGAAGTCATACTGGGTGGCTGAGGACCTATTCTTTGATCTTCAGTCTGTGAAGCAGGGCGACGTAGTGGCTGACCGGTGGACACGTGCGCGACCGGAGAAGAGAGTAGGATGGGATCTAGTGGACCATCTCACGCGTTTCGTACTATTGGCAGACAGCTTCCGTAGTCGGGCGGACCGTCAGGACTGGAACGCATGGAGCAATGGTTTCGTGAGAAAAGTGTCCTTCTACCTATGCATCTTGCGATGCTTCACAGTCAGAGATGCCGAGCAGAGACAGGCTGCGCGAGAGGCTGCGCGAGATCGAGACACGAAATCCTTGACGAAAAGAAGTTCCCACAGCAGTGGCAACAGCGGTAATAGCAAACTATCTCGCCAGAGCAAATGACTGCCGGTGGATTATGTGTGCTATTGGATCCATAGTGAGATATGGAAGAGGAGGAAGTGCTCGGCTAAGTACCAAAAGCGCAAGGACGCCAGTGACATCGTGACTCTAGTGAAGTTGACCAGCGAACAAGTACATTTGGCCAGGGATACATGTGCTGTCTTCGAGACGAACAATAAGTTCATACCAAGCTAGGCAATATAGCAATGCTATTGATGATCTTTCTGACATGCGTAGACTCACATTAGTAAGTAATTCTAGCTCGAATTGTAGGAACACTTAGCAACTTTGAGAACACATCTTATTGGGACAAGGAACAAAAACTATGTTGGGGAGACGGACGCTTTGTCGAAGGTGCATAAGGAAAACGGATAAGGGGAATGACTGATACTAGGTATAAGAGGTGAAAAAAATACATTATATTTTTATTGAAACAAGGGCCAATGGCACGAATTAATACAATAATTGAATTCTTCAATAAGATGGAAGTGGGAAAGATTGTTGGAGAATTGACTGAAAACATTAAGAGGTGAGGGAGGATATAGTATGTTGTTTTAGGTTAGGTATGCATGTATGTAGGTACTTCTATGTAATTAAAGAGGTCCTATGTACATGTACATCCTGACGCGGAATGTACTGCACGTACTTCGTACTGTACCTATTGAACAAAAGCAACCTCGAGCGCTACTTCCAATCGCGCTTACTTACCATTGTCATTGTCTCAGTTCGTTGTTAACGTTTGTACATTCTCTCGTCATTATTTTAGGTAAACTTCGCAACTTCCCTACATCTTATCCTCCAACCTTCTTTCCGTACATCGTTTAATCCTTATCCGAGCGTATTTCTATTTAAGGCACCGCGCCTTCAATTTTATCCTCCGAAATTTTACGCTCTTAATCAATCTCACTACTTATCATCTCACCATGGAGGAGGAATCTGATATTGAGGATCGCGTCGCGTATGAGCACGATGAGGATCTTGACGAATATGATCTTGACGAATATGATTCCGACGAGTCTGGCTTTGATGGTGCCAACCCTTTTCTAGATATGGAGGCTGCTGAATCCGATGACGAATCAGATAATTCGGAAGATGCATCCCCAATCACGGAACAGTTCTTTTTTCCCCAATTCAGATCACTACCCCCCGAACTTCGCGCTCGCATCTGGGAGTTCTTTGACCCGAGTCTTAGAGCAAAGGCCCGAGTGTTTCACATGCTTCTCAGGATAAACCCTATGGAGTTCTGGAGAAGCGCACCTCTGATAGAACAGACTGCGCCGGCGAGAGCAATGTTGGCTACACATCACGAGAGTCGTGCGCTAGCATTGAAATCATATCCCGATACCCTTGATGTGCATCGAGGAAGAGGTGTTATTCGTTACAACAGCGAGAGAGATGTCGTACTCCTCTCTATTAGCTCTATCCTCGCCCCTACCGACCTAGAAGAGTTCTTTTCATCTCTTGGGAATACCAAATACCTTGCCTTCAACCACCTTCGAGCGGTTAATGAGGAGATTCTCTATCCGAGGCTGGCGACTCATCCAACGCTGAAAGGAATATTTTACTGCTATGACTGTTACGAGCTACCTCCCCGCGATTTAACGTGGTGTATTTCCGATTCAATCCAGCGCTTCTACATTCAGCAGATAGAATATGACACAGTGTTGGGCCCGCAACCTTTGGAATCTATGTATTGCTGGCCGGACCTTGAGAACCATCGAAAGTTCGCTGAAGAGCATGCCCAAGCCACCTTTGGACATGCCAAACCCTTGAAAATTTGGACCATGGTCGAATTTGCATTTGAGCAGGGGTTTAAACGCTACGAAAGACTCGAAGCCTCGGGCGGGCGGACCGAAGAATGGTCCTCCGATACGGAGAGCGGGTATGACTCTAATTCTGCAAGTGAGGATGAGTACGAAAGCGAGGGAATAGATGATGCGACAATACACAGCGACGGTGGCTCAAATGAGGATGAAGACGATTTGGTCGTACAATCTGGCTCTGACGAAGATAATTCGTCTACCTTTGACGGATTTTCTCCTATTCAGGACGAGAATCCTGAGCTTCATTTGGACGGCGAAATAGAAATCGGCATCGCCAATTTCTCTAGCTTTGTTGTGCCTGAGTCACCCAATCATTATGATAACGCTTCAGAGCAGGATGATTCTGACGAGGAGCCCGTTCAGAAGACCGCCCGACGCAAACGTCGTATTGTATCTTCGGACGATGAAGATGATATTAATGGTGAGCGTGACGAAGAAGTTAAAATGCCGTCGCGGCCTGCTAAGCGGAGCCGTATCGTCCTTTCCGATACCGAAGATGAGGACGATGAGGATGGAGACGAAGACACGAAGCAAGGCCACAATATTTCATACGAATCGGAAGAATCTGACGAGCCCGAGGATGAGGATGAAGAACCCGTAAAGACCAAGTCAATGTCTCTGTTTGAGAAATTGAAGCAGTATCGCCAAGAAAACCCTCTCCCTCCGGACTCAGAGGCTAGCTCGGATGTTGAAGCATCGATGGGCAGTGAAGGTTTGGATGCAGGCAACAACATCAATTTCCCGGACGATGAGACCGAAGACGAGCACGACTTATTGGAGAACGGTGGAATAGGGGTGGATATGTCTGAAGAGCGTTCCGAGGGCGATGAAGATGATGAAGATGGATGGTAATGGGTTGACTACGTGCCATATATTGGTACGGAGTATGAAGACGCTGGTTTTCATTCTAGTATACGGCGGCGATGGGCTTTAGAGCGGCGTTGATTCTACTCGACTACCTATAATCCGGATTTATCTAGGCACTCGTTAGCGGACCTCTTGCGTTTATAAGGATAGCATGTACATTGTATGGAGTCTCGGATGATTTAACAGGCCTGGGGGCATAAGCGTCCTGGATTCGGGTTGAGACTCTTTACCATTTGGGCACATTAAGGATTGATGCCTATCAGTTAACACCGATAATTCAATCTCCAAGCTTGGAGTATGCGTTGAATTTAAGGCGCAATAATGCAAATCATCATGGACGGCATATTGTCTGATACGATTTGGTGAGACCTTAAGAATGCGCTGGGTTATGGGACACCGGGTACACTACCCCTAAAATTTACGCTCAGCGCTTCATTATACAAGCCCTGTCCAACTCTCGTCTTAGTAGTCTTCATATGAAGGCTGCTATACTCAGCTTTAAAGCAATCAAAAAGATATAGCTACCTATGTATATTAAGAACCTATCATATTCCCAACATTTCACAGTCCACAGTTTTCGAGCACAGGAATTGTTCAGCACAAGGGAAGCTATGCTAACTTCTATTCCAACTTACTCCTCCCGCTCCGTCGCCCATCGTCATCATCAGTAAGCTGGCCATCTATCACCACTCCACCACCCCTATCCCTATCCTTACCATCCCCCCCTTTCCGGCGATCAAGCAACAGCCACAAACCAAAGACAACCGCGGTAGACGGCAGCGTAAACGCCCAGTAAACCCAGAACCCGGGGTTCTGGACGACGCCGGCAACGGACTCGGCGTGCCAGTCTAGCGACGGCAGCGCGAACAGCGCCGCGAAGAATGTCGCGGGCAGGAATGCCATCGTCATTATCGCTACGGTCCGCATGCTCGAACTGTCGTGCCGCGTCGCCTCCGCGATCCGCCGGCTCGCGTCTGCGAGGTCTGCGTGGGTTGCCGAGTCTTCGTGCGTTAGGAGCGCGAAGAGCTTTTGCGGCTGTCGTTAGCTGTGTTTTTTCTTTCTTTTTTCTTTTTTCTTTTTGTCCATCATGGATATACAGGTATATATATATGCTCTACCCATGCATTGGGGGTAACGGAAGATAGGTTAGGGGGGTAAAGATAGGAATAACAATTCTGGGAAGAGCCTTACCACCGTTGATAGACGCTCGGCGCGCTCCTTGAGATACTTGAGATATTCCTGCGAGGCATGCATGCGCCTCCTCAACAGGGGTATCGCCGCGATCAGGCGGCGTGTGTTTTCGTCTTGGACCGCGGTTCCGTATCCAGCGTCCGGAAGTAGTACGCTGCTGTCGAGCACAAAGTCGAGGACGACGTCCACGAGGCGGAAATGCCGCTCGTTATTGGCGATGTGGTTCAGCACCTCGCCAACGTCTTTGATATACACCGTAATCGACTCCATCCCTAGGCGCTCCTCGATCCCGCTCGAGTGCCGACTATACCCCGTCTCGCGCTCCGTGAGCCGCACCATGTGCGCGCGGTACGATATCTCGCCGTCGAACATGCAGCACACGCTTAGAGCCGTTACGTATGCCAGCAGGAACGGCGAGCGCAAGTGTTCCTGGTGCCGCCGCAGCACGTTGACGAACCAGGCCGCGGGCGCGCTGCTGCCGAAGCTATGTTGCTGCCGGAGGATCCACAGAGCGCGCGTCTGTAGGGTCCGTTGATTGAACGTCCATACCAATACAAAGTTGGACGTTCCGACGTAGTACGTGTCGACATCTGCCGTCCCCCCCTCCTCCTCTCCCTGATCCCCGTCGTAATCTACGGAGGAGGAAGAAGGGAAGTAATGAAAACCATCATACTCGCTGCGCAGGAGCCACAGTGCCGCCGGGCTCATGTGCATCGCATCGACGAGCCCTAGGAAGATATCCTTGGTTACCCATAGCGAAGGAAAAGGGGTGGACCACGACTCCAGCCGGCTGTCGATTACGACTAGCTTGAGCGAGGCAGGCGGCGGCGTCGTAGCTGTTGCGCTCTTGCGAGAGTCGCCACTCGTAGGTCGTTCTCTAAAGAACGTGGGCAAGTGGCCGAGCTTCAAATCCTTCTCGACGTAGGTCGTCGGCTCCGGGGGCGAGGAATACACGGCGATGGCACGGAGCTTGGGATCGGGACCGAGCGCCGTGTCGCCATACCGCTGGAAGACTTCAAAGTTCTCACGGGCCAGCTGAGCGAACTCTTCCATACTGGTAGCATAGGAGACCCGGAGATTTAACCTGTATTACCTATATCATAGTTTGAGTGAACACGACAGCAACATATATACTCTTTTTTTTCCTTTCTTTTTCTTAGTTGCTACTACGATAGAATATAATGAGAATGAAGCACAAGAACAATTAGGAAATTACTTATTAGCCGCTCGGTTACCTCACGAGAGATCCTGTCTCCGGAAGGATGAGTAGCAGCGGGGGCTGAAACGGATGCAACTCAGCCGCGATGTCTCCTCCCGATCCCAGCACATCTCCACCTTCATGTTCTCGTGTACAGTAGCACATTGTGCTCAATGGTGTTAAGGTCCGGTGAGGGAACCGACACTGAGGGGTGCTCTTACATCTCCAAAATGCGTTAAAAAGAAATAATAGTCTTAAGAGTAGAACGGTGGTAATGTCTGGCGATGTAGGACATGCCGACTAGGTATACCTCACAAAAAGGAGAGAAAAAATAAAATATATAATCGACACATTAAAATTAATGTAGAAAAATAAATGCATCAGCCGCGAATCGAACGCGGGGCCCATCGATGGCAACGATGGATTTTACCACTAAACCACTGATGCCTTAGGTATTGTACATATTAAATTTGCGGGACTTTTCTATACTTGTAGCAATGTACAATACTATTCCATGCCGCTGAAAATACGCGGGAATAACTCCCAGTGCCCATCTTTTAAGTCAACTGAGTATTTATTTGGGTGTTTTTCACCTTGCTACGAATTAAGTAGCTACTATAAGTCCCAAAATAAGCCCGCCTCTCTTTACTTCCTTCAGCCTTTTCTCTCAAAGCCCTTCACGTCAATGCCAATTTTCCAGATGCGCCGACCTTTCTCGTCGCGTCCCAAGTCCTGAAGATCCCCGCCGGTTTCCGATTTAACAGCGCGTTCTTCGCCAACGGGCAGCACCAAAGTGATACCGTTCTTAATCCACAACGGCTCGAATTGGCTGTGTTTTTGCAATTTTACCTTGGCGCGGATCTCGTTGCTTGACACGCCGTAGGAAATATCAACCTCGCAGAGAGTTGGCTTTTCCACGGGACTTACGCCGTTGTCCTCGAGCCATGTGTTATGGAACCATTTCGTCTCCGCAAGCGTGTTAACGGGTGTTGAAAGCTCATCACCTTTAGGCCAATGAGGATATTGAGCTAGCGGCGGAGGGAATATCTCAACCGCCCGGTAATCATCCTTCTCCATACCTGGGAATTCCGAGTCCTCCTCGGCGAGACATGTAGTTGGCCTAGGTTTTCCTATCGGGACAACAGACCCGATGCGCGCAAGCACGGGGATCGAGCTATGCCAAGTCGAAGAAATCTCGTGCCACCTGCCGGCTTCGAGGTGTTGATATGGCGCCGAAAGGTTTAAAAATCCCAGATCGCTCCCGCTTTGATCTGGGAGGTAGACCTTTGCACTCGAGACTCCAGGTTCGTAGATACCCGCGATGAGTAGAGCATCCCCGAACCAGTATTGCGAGTCCCCCTTGAGTAGCTCCTTGGTCCAAACTATAGGGTCAGACTCATAACCCCAGCCGGTCCATCGTTGAGGCGGAATTGCCTCCCGATGGGACTTCAGCGTGAGGGAATACGTATACGGCACCAATTCGTATCTGCGCTGTATCGCGTCTCGAATAATTGGCGCTACGGATGGATATTGCCACGGCTCAATGACCTCGCCAATCAAGTTATCGTCAGGATTGGTCTTGTAGCAGTTGATGGCGAACCGTGGTGAGTGGATGCCAAGTTGTATCCAACGAACGAGATGCTCTGGCGTCGGCTGAGGACCTTCGAAACCGCCAATGTCATGGCCGTAGCACTTGATAAATGAGATACAGAACTTTTAGGTGTGGCAAGACTGGCTTGATGCTTACCTGAAGTAGAGAGAAACCTGCGTTTAACGCCAACGCATTTGCACCTTTCATCCCTTCCCAGCTTGTTACGTTGTCGCCGCTCCACGAACTGGCGCAATAACGCATGGTACCGGCTGTCGCGCTACGAGTGAGAACAAATGGACGGACCTCGGGTTCGGCTTCAATTGTCGCATCGTGGGAACTCTTTCCCACGAGCTCGGTATGTAGCGCTCTACCCCAGAGTCCAACATGTTTCCGAGATTCACCGGGAGGTACGGCGACGGTCTCGAGAGCGCATTGCCAGTCATCGTTAGGGAGATTGTATTCGTTATTATCATTCCACATAGCGTCGATCCCAACCTCCTTAAGGGCCTTCACCCCATTGTACCACCAGTCATATCCCGCCTTAGAAGTGAAGTCGAGATGACTACCTTCTCCGCTCTCTCCTCCTCCGGCGCTCCAAAGCCGCGTGACTGCAGTAGTCGAGGTATTCGGGTCCTTGAAGAAAGCGCCGGACTGCGAAAGTTCTGCATACGCCGGATGGTTTGCGAGGACATACGGCTTAACATTCGCCAGAAGACGAACACCATGCTTGTGGCACTCGCGTGTGAATTCCCGCGGATCCGGGAAACGGTGATGGTTCCAAGTGAAAACATTCCTGGTCTTGGGCTCCGTTTCGGCTACTGTATATCCCGAGCTCATCTGGAAAGCCGAACACGGCATGCCATGTTTTTCACAGTTCTTGAAAAAGTTGAGGATCGAGTCACAAGCGCGCGGCGAGTCTTCCATGCTATATTTCATGCCGCCACCGATGTAGCCCATCATGTACCGGGGCACAAGCAATGGAAAGCCTACTAGTTCGGCATAAGATCGAACAACGTCCGCCACAGTCCTCCCAACGATGAGATACTCTTCGAGCCCGCCGTGAGCCTGCCGATAGACCTTGTAATGACCCCACATTCCGTCTAATTCGGATCCAACAGCCCAAGTCGCTCGGGCATGAGAAGTCGAGAAAATGCCCACGCAGCCATTGGGAGTGGCATTAATTAGTAGAGGGATATGCTTGTACAAGGGGTCCGTTCTGTAAGCATCGTATCCAAAGGTATCACTTGCTGTTATGTTAAACCCCCGACCACTTAGATCCATTGGTGCAGCCTTCTCTCCGAGCCCGACATGCAGGCTATCCGT